ACAAGTGCCCCGAAATGCTTGAAAAAAGGCAAAACTTGACACAAATTTCCGAGAAAGGCAAAACTTCCAATAAATGTTTGAAATAAGCAAAATAGACAAAAAAAAGCAATTTGCCTTTAATCCGAGCTTTAGTGATTGGCAACGATAGTTCGGTGTTCATCAGCACGTGTTTCGGATTCGTGGAGTACATAGGAAACAATGGAATCATCCACGTTGACCGAGTTACATCCCAAGATCATATCAAATACATTGGAAACGATGGACGCCTTGTTTTCAAGAAGGCGAACAAATTGTTGAATACCCACTCAGTCCAACCGCCTAGGAATCAAACAGGAAATAAAGTTGTTGATAGTTCTGAATTCGAACTTCAACGCGATTTTGATTTCAACGATCATTTACCCCCCGCAGCATGTTCTTGTCTATGATCTTTGACTGAGTAGTCAAAGTTTCAACTGCGAATGTTGCGCGAACGCAAAACAGCTTTCGCAATTTTATGTTTTTATGTAATAAGTAAAACAGTATTTGTTTGTAATATTTTAGTTTACTAAATTGTATTTTTGATGTAATTGTTGTTGCAATTGCCCAAAGGAAAGTTCAAGTTGTAGTGACCGATAATTTGTCCGGTTTTTCTTTGCCTAAAGCTTTTGATAGCTGAATGATCTGTGGACAATTTGGTCATTTTTAATCAAATTAATTGCCAGAAATAAATTTATTTCAAATAGAATGAAACATTTTATTTAGTAAATTAACTAGTCCTGCGGTGCTTCCCATATTCGAATGTCTAGGAATATTCGTAATTATATGAATAATCGAATGGGTATCGTTTTATTAATGCGTTTTTTATAAGTTTTTATAGTGGCGTTAGTTCGGAATGGACTTAAATGCGCCTTTTTCTCCATCCGTATGGGAAACTTTGCTGCCGCTGAAAGAAAAGAATTGACAATTTTCGCGAAATTTTTACTCTTGCTTGTGCATGTTTACCATTGGACGTGAGAACTTTTCAAACTAAACTTCACTAATTTATTTCTAGAAAACGCAACGGGCTTAGAAAAATCCTGATATATCACTAGAAAGAGTGTATTCTTTTTTATGCGGGCTAAAAAATTCACTGCCATGTTGAGATTTTGAAGGTTGTGTGGATATTTTAAACTTGGGGCTGCACGTATGCCGTTGCATATAAAATCCTTGCCACCTAAATTAAAATAATTTATTTTTTGATAACGGGTCTAGATGGAAAAAGTCCTGGTACCACATTGGAAAAAACGTACTTTTCTTTATTCATGCGAAAAAATTAATTCCAAAATTAAAATCAACAATGAAATCAACAACGTACAATGAAAAAATTAATTGCAATTGCAGSATTTGTTGGTGTGTACGATTTTTTTTTCTGAGCGTTACATGTACGTCTCCGACTGTGAGCGTCGGAAACTGCTTTCCAGTCATTTATTCTTCGCCAACTGGACTTCATCATCAGTCTGTATTAATCCACTCCTGGACATAGGCCTCTTCCATATAAACGCTGTTTTGTGCTGGGAGCATCCAGTTCTTTCCCGCTAGTTTCTGTATGTCGTCTCGCCATCTTAGCATGGATCTGCCTCTGCTTCTCTTTGTTCTCCGTGGTCTCCACCATAGAGAAAATAAAGTAAAAAAATTAAATAATAATAAAATATTTTACTTACTCTATGGCCTCCACTGCATAACGGTCTTCGTCCGTCCGTCAATTGGACTAATCAGAACAAATCCTGGTACATCACTGGACAGAACACACTTTGCTCTGAGTGATCGGAACGATGGATCAACTGTCGTTATCTGCGATTTTTCTCAATTTTCAAACTTTACTGAATTTATCAGACTATAAAGTCTTTCACGGCCGGTCAAATCACATTTAGAAAGGTTTTCCGGGCTTTGAAGCCGTGGTCTATGGGAATTTCTYCCTAATTCCTAGGAAGACATTCCCATRGACCACGGCTTCAAGCAGGGGCGRATCCAGCTTTCGARTYAGGGGGCGGCCAAGTAGTTTTTWGTTTAATTTTTTAATTYAGTCTTTTGTTGTCTATRAAAATACAAAAATTATCATTAGTCGTTATAAATCTAGGCTTGGCTTCAAAGCCCGGAAAACATTTCTAAATATGGTTTACTGAATTTGCTGTATTTTATTTGATATATCTGCTCTGTACMCGCTGACGGGCGACTGAAACTCATGATTTTAAATRCAGCCGCGCACAGGAGCGACTTTTTGAAGCCGCTACTACAAGACGTCTAAGAGCCACTTCACACGGGCCACTCTGCAGCGCTTCTAAGTGGTACTGCTGAGAGGCGCGTTTTGAAAATACATTGATTTATATGAAGCTATTCACACGGACGCGAGCACCAATTTAGCAGCGCTTCTGTGGCAGTCATGGTTGAATACCGCCGAGAAGCGCGTCACAAAGAAGCGCCACTGATAGCGATACATTGGTTCACGTTCAAACGTTCAAACGTTCAAACGAGCCACTTCAGTCGGCTTCAGGTTAACGTGCTCTTCTAAGCAGCGCCACCGAGAAGCGCTGCAGAGTGGCCCGCTCTAAAAGTCGTTAGCGATTGTCGTCCTGTATCGAACTCACAGGACTGAACGGGATCAAACAGACGGACGACAAAATTGTGGCAGCGTGAGATGAATTTGTTTACTTAATTTGGCTTGTACCGAAACGGCATGGCATCCAACCGAAGTTTGCACTTGAAAATTATTTGTTATCTATTTTGCCATCTTGCCTGCCTTGCCCGTCATCTGGGCTGATTGGCGGACACTCTGTATATTTAAACATCTTCCATAATTCAGAAAGCTGCACATAAACCACATTTTGCCATATGTCGCAATGTGTACGGAATCAACTCGTGAATCCCTTTGATAACGGTATTTGAAGGCTTGCTGTTTCGTCATTTCCTAAACAGGCAGGGGCAGATAAAAAAAGGGGAATTCCTCTCTGCGTTCCAAAGGCAACACAGGCGCCAATAATTTATCACTTTTGCTCATTCATAATTGCGCTTATTGCAGTTTTTTTAGAAAATATTCATTGGTTGTCGTAGATCCACTTAAACATTTTTGCGGCATTAAGCCCAAATAATGCGGGAGAAAATTAAAAAACGTTAGCTGTTGTTTACGGAAGATCCGTTGATGTTTATTTAATGCTGAACTTGAGTAAACAAATGTAGGGGCGT